CGTTTTTCAACGAAATAAATAAGTAAGCTTATCATTTGAAAATTGAATCATAAGGGTATATTATTTCCATCAGCACCTCATATCATTCCTAGCCTTATAAACTTATAGAACAAACATCTTTCTAACTAGCCTAGCCTTAAAGAAAGATATTTTTCAAACTAAGAGTTTCAATTGAGTTATGTTCCAGAAAACAACGGGGAATGTGTAACTATTTCATACAACAGAGTTCAAGATCAAATTTTTCGCTTTAGTGTCCTCTCCGTTGCGAAGCGCGGGTACAAGCTAGTTGATAATTGTATTTAATACAAGCCAAAGGTGTCTTATAGATTCCGAGTAAATTATTATAATCTATCAAATGGAGCATGTAAAGTGCATTATAAATAATCAACAAACCCTAAAATAATTGACTATTGATTCAGTTACTGATTCGGGAATTACAATTAATTGCTGATGATAACTGAATGCTCTGACATGAAGCAGTGTTCTTCTTTACTTCTTTACCTATAAAACACATGGGATACAGCCTTTCTTCACTGATCACGTAATGCGTGATTTTCTATAAAGTCTTGGAAAAATAAAAGGAAAAATAGATAGAATACAGGTGTACTGTATGTGGTTTACACACAAATATTCATCAAACTGTGTGATAGTTTGTTATAGCAATGAACAATTTGAGAGTATCGTATTGTTTAAGTCGATGGAAAATCTCTGTTGATCCTGTTTTACAAGCAAACCAAAAAGATACAGTAGTCACCACTCTATGCGACATATTCTAACCAGAAAGTTGTAATCGTATGATTCTATAAGCATTGGTAGGATTGCAAAGTACTACACAAACATTATTAAAAAATGGCATATTGGTAATCAACAAACCCTAAAATAATTGACTATTGATTCAGTTACTGATTCGGGAATTACAATTAATTGCTGATGATAACTGAATGCTCTGACATGAAGCAGTGTTCTTCTTTACTTCTTTACCTATAAAACACATGGGATACAGCCTTTCTTCACTGATCACGTAATGCGTGATTTTCTATAAAGTCTTGGAAAAATAAAAGGAAAAATAGATAGAATACAGGTGTACTGTATGTGGTTTACACACAAATATTCATCAAACTGTGTGATAGTTTGTTATAGCAATGAACAATTTGAGAGTATCGTATTGTTTAAGTCGATGGAAAATCTCTGTTGATCCTGTTTTACAAGCAAACCAAAAAGATACAGTAGTCACCACTCTATGCGACATATTCTAACCAGAAAGTTGTAATCGTATGATTCTATAAGCATTGGTAGGATTGCAAAGTACTACACAAACATTATTTCAAGGGTAATAACAGTCACAATTTCCGCTGACTTTGAAAGAGTCAACTAAACTATTATACTAATGGAGACGCAACTAAATGGAACAACTAATGGAAACTCTCACGATGTACATATAACAAATCGTTCGATATAAGCATTGAGTATACACGTCAGTACATACGTGTATAATCAATGATATAAGCAACGGTTCTTGCAATTTATTGCTTATTTTTTTAGAGTTGTTTTCAGACTTACTCACACTCGTATAAGGTTTTCCACGTTTGTCATTGATAATGTAGCCATGTTGCTTTGAAATGGCGACCATACAAATTTATGCATTTTAAGCCAATTATGAATGGAGTTGAGTGTGGGATGAGTGGAACGATCTTGTTGTCCTGTTTGTGACTAAGGCCACAGAAAACGTACTAGTACGTTTTCTGGGCTAAGGCCAACATAATCCTTAGACACAGCTGTTAATTAATAGTGCATACAGTCAATTAATAGCAACAGAGGTCAAGTTTGGTATCAAATTAAAGGTTTTATTCATAAAAATACATTGCCGCAAACCCAAACTCAAACGATGATGATGATAATAACGTTAACGATGTCGCTAAAACGTATCGTTTGAAATTTAACAGCTGAAAATAAGTGAAATAGAAAAGGTTTTGGTTAAATCCATCAAATTGTAATTGGACACTAGTAAATACTAGTGCACTTGTTGCTACCTCCCCCCTTCGGTTTCATGTATTCCTCTCAATCAGTTCAAACCTAGGAGGATCATTAATGTTAATTAATGTTAAATCCTCCTAGATTCAAACCTGAAACACCCAGATCGAAACTCGCCTGTCGTTATTTTACCATCGCCTTTTTTAAAAATATATTTTTCAAAAAAGAAATATTATATTGATTTACTTTTGATTTTAAAAATGTTAACGTTTTATTTTGTTAAAGATTTATGGTGATACGTAGGCTAAATATTGTGGTGTAGCAAAGTATATTATATTGTAGTTAAGTGTTAAATTTTGAAATTTTAGGGTGAATCGAGATGAATCTTTGTTTATAACATGGGTCTCTCCTACCTTAACATACATACCAAGTTTCATAAACATCGGTTGGAAAAGTGCAAAGATAAATATTTGTATGTAAAAAATACAAAATGGTGGATATCTGGTTAACGAAATTATTTTGGAAAAAATGTTATCCTTGGTTTTCTGTTTATTTTGACCCAAGGAATTACTAGGTAAAGTATCTCCCCGCTTATTTTAACACCCTGTTTATGATGTATTCTTATAAGTGAAAAATGTAAGCTGGTAATACAAAAAGATGTTTTATAAATAATATGAATGTACTGGTGATCTGTATATTAATCTTTTTCTTGTCCTTAGAACTGTAAATTAAAAGTCCACTCAGCAGTCGCATCGTACGATGTAGTTCTTTCCATGCGTTGCGAAATGCTAAATTAGTAAATTTTCCGTCCTCTTCAACACAAGTTATCTATTGAACCACTGAATGTAAAAAATCCAAAAAAATATATTTTACACATCACACTTTTGGCTACAACTTTGCCACAGACAAAACCTCTCTAACCCAAAAACAAAAAAAATCTCGCATGCTAACTTTTCATGTTAGAAATCACGATTTAAAACTATTTCACCATACAAATCAATTTTTATTAATTAGATCGGTAAATAGTTTAAATATCCAACAAAATAGTCATCGAGTAGGACTAACCAAGAAGATCTGTGCCAAATTTCAAAATTTTAGCACAACTTCAAGTACACCAAAACACGAAATTATTGAAGTCATGCGTCGAGAGGACTATCGTTGTTTTTAACAGATTATACTTTTGACCTTCCGGCACTGTTGACTCAGCGAAACTGAACTTATATTTTATCTTATTTTGTTATATTAAAACTGCTGTTGCATTAGGTCAAATTCCCAATAGGTCAATTGCTTTAACATAGACTACGGTTTTAGCCCGGACTGTACTATTTGACTTGCTGGGATTTTTGATCTACAGACACTGCAAACATTGTAGTTTTTGACCTAGCGGCACAGGTATAAATTATTTGACCTTCCGGGACTGTTGACTTTCTGCAACGCGTCCGTTATAATCCTTTAATGGTGCCGAATCACGAGAATGAGTAAATTTTGCCCTGGTGACATTTCAAATAATACGCGAAAAAATTACGAAGTTTGTTTCTGCGTCCTGTAGCTTCTCGACTATTTACGTTCTTTGGAAAAATCAGGAAAATTACTACAAAATTAAATTAAAAAATGTACTTCGGAATAAAAAAAAATATTTTAATTTAATCAATCAATATTATAGGCTCAAATAAGTAACCAGTTTATTTTTAAAATTGACTAACTGGTAGGGTACTTGTAAAACCAGGAGAGGGCACGGTTTACAGTTACCATTGTGTATCACAGTTTTTTGTCGCTGCTTGGATAAAATTAGCTGTTGCCATGCAAAAAAAAAATAGTGCTGCACTCTGTTGGTAAACCATATTCCTTTTTAATGCTATTGAATATCATAGAACCAAATTTTGTAGTTGAAACAGCTGGTAAAATTCGATTGCAGTACCAACTGGATTTTCCTCTAAAATTTCCAATCTCAATAATTTGAGCCACTGGCTTCTTTTTTCTTTTAGATATGAATACTGACAAGGTTAACATGGGAATCTCCAGAGCCACATATGGTGGAACCCGAAAGGATCTTTGACATAAGGGTAATAATATATATGTTAATCGGGAACGTAAGCTATCATCATACCAAATTTCAGCTCAATCCGACCTCCGACAAGTAGTTGATGCGTGATTGAACTTCAAACAAACAAACACACAAACTTCCACATTTATAAAATTAGTAAGATATGATATATACACAAACCTGCAACTGAAAGGACAACCCTAATTTTTACAGAGAGTAGACTTAATTAGGAAATTTACCAAACATACATTTATTTGTATAGGTTTTTGAAAACATGAAAATGATCTTGAATTGAATGCGTTGTTGATTCCAATAAATTACGAAGGACGAATAAGGAACTATCCTGTATCGTCCAGGCCACAAATTAAGAATTTCAGTTCAAGCTTTATTTCACATATTCTTTACGAAAACGGTCCCGTGTAGTTGCAATGACGAATGACTAGACCAAAAACAACTCTTTCGATGAAATCCTGAGTAATCAGATCCAATATATAAAGAGTTTATCGACGTGTTCATTTTTGTATTTTCATGCTCTATTATGTTGAATAAATATATACTGTATCCCTACTTAATATGCCTCTACAAACATTTTGAACAGATGGTAAAAAAATAAATGTTTCCAACTCCAACATACTTAAAGATATTACAGCTACATGCACAGAGTGCAGACGACAATCAATTCAAACTCACGAGAACGGCGGGAAACGCGTATGAAAATTATGACAGCTACTACACCTAGAATGGTCTGCCAGTAGTATTATGAAGAGGAAAATCTCGTGAAAAATGAATGGATGAATCTCGTTTATTGAAATTGACTGAACCATAAAGTAGAGAACTATAGGTTAAGTTTCGTTTCGGGTCAGCAGGCCTCATAGTACGCTGATAAACAGCGAATTAGTGTGGAACTATTTTTCTCGTGCGGTGGCGGCGGAAGGATCGCCGTCGGCTGCCGAGTGCCGCTGCTCATCACTGGAACGGAACTTTGCGGCGAGCGTCGTGTTTTGTGTTAGTGTTCGCGAGGGTTCGACCGTGTGAGTGTATCGTGTCGTTCGTTCGTGTGCTGTGTTTCCCTGTGTTGATGTGTAGTGTATCTTGAGTACAGGAATACACCCTGCCTACCCGGTGAGTTGTGTACTCGAGTATTTATCGGGATAACCCAAAACCCGCCCCTGTTCTAGCAGTCATTCATTTCTCATTTGTTTACATCCCGTTCTCTAGCAGAAAGCCCGAGTGTTTATTTTCAGTTGCTGTTGTCTACCAACGTACTCGTTTAAACCTCTTTGTTCAGTTACGGTGATATTCGTAATGTATATTTGCTCGACATTTTTGGCACCTCGCAGAGGTTGGTGCCCCCGCTAAGGGAGGTTATTGATTTTATGCTGTGCGTGCGTACCACCTCTCTCGCTGGTTTTCTTTACTACTCTTACACATTTTCTTTTATTAAAACTAGTATCCACACGTTGCTGTATGTTTAGTTTTAATTAGTTGTACATTTATGGTTTGTCATTTTTCGTTGGATGCAGCACTTGTTATCGATCCCAACCACGGTGTTCAAGTCTCCCCCAGTTTACCACCCCCAGTTGTTTTTTCGTTGAATTTGAACGATAAATTATTTTCATGGCGTGTACAGTCTACGCAATTTAACAACTTTGCTAAATTCAAATTTCTTTCACTTTTGAAACGTAGTTTTAACGTACGTAGATATTGAGAAACTAAGAAGCAAATTTGGTGCCCCACCCCTATAGGTAGGTAGCTAAAACGTTGTTTGACTTGTTAGCCCACAATGTTATATGGACCACCAATGAATAACATTAGTAATGCGGTTATGTGTTTGTAAAATAATTAATAGGCCTAGGCCTACTATTTTGGGTATTTTAAATACGGTAATGAAGACAAATTATCATCGAAAATGATCAGTAAGGCAAATTCAACAAAATACTATATTGTGCGAGATAGTCTAATGATTCCATTACCAAGTTTTAATACGTATAACGGCAAATCTCGTGTTTGATTGGCTACACCAATAATTTATAATATCCAAATAAACTAAGGTCAAATTTACGGTTCAATTTTTTTTGTACACATTTTTAAACAAACTCGTCGTTAATAATACGCCTGTAAGTTTATGGATATCACATTGGCATTATTATTCACTTGCCGTATATTTTTCATGGGCGTCTTTATTTTTGAGAACATTTAAAACTTAGAAAATACGGAGTTTTTCTATAGTTTCTATAGCCTCTAGACCTAGTTACAGAGCGTCTCCTATGTAGGTGGGTGCTTTACGTTTCATTCATCAAGTACGGTAGGTTGTATAGTCTATTTTATTTCCGGTTATGTTTAGACAACGGAAACTTTCTGAATACACCCCTGAGGAAAAACAGGTTTGAGAATCACTAAACTTGTGTGACTCCAATCAAACAGCCGCAATTACATGTTCCGGCGGAAGTCCGGCTCGGCGGATTTTCAATCAACACCAAAGTGTTGGCTAAAGTTAACGTTTTTAGTACCTAAGCTAAAAAACAATTCAGCGACTAATTTATGCTACCCTATGCAGAATATTGTTTAGTATTTCGTTAGAAACACAAGAGCTCCCGATGTTCGCAACTATTGATCTAGGCCCTTGAATTGGACGGTATCAAAGCCCCCAGGTGGCTGGATGATATTGGAATAACAACAAAAAGGCTCTATTTATTGGTGAAATTTTATTAACATGTGCTATTCTTGACCGAATTGTTGAATTTTTCTGTATCACATAACAAATAATGCTAGTTTCTAACCGCAATTGAAACATGTCTCGATAACTTCTGTGTCTGAAAACTTAGATTTGTCTCAGTTGTCCAATTATTGTTTAGGCCTACCACCCAAGATGCCAACTCCAAGATAAATATTTTTTTAACGGATTAAAAATAATTTAGACTAGCTCTAAACGCTCTATGAATTTTATCTCGACCATCAATGGTTTTCATCGACATTTTCCATCCAACTAATGTTGTCAGTGTTCTTGCTTAGAAAATAGCATCACAAATAGTAATGGTGTCGCATTTTGTGGAGAACGGTTCTAACTTGAATAATGTTATCTGTAGCCTATTTATTTGAAGATTAAGTTTTATAACACAATTTATAAATAAGCTTCTGCGTAATCGTTATGCCAATCATCCTTAAGCGGTGTTCACTGGGACACTTTGTGCCTTTTTTGTCATCCAAAACCACTCTATACGACTTCTGATGGCTGTACGTCATTAACTACTGTACCAGTAATATAATTGCCATATGACAGTATAGTTCTCCCACAATTTCCAATGAACTACTGGTATTGAATTTGCTTGAGAATATCTAGTTTTAAATTCAAATGGTACAAATTTCTGTAGTCCTAATTCTTCAACAGTTGAAACAACGATTCCTACCAAAATTCACCACAAACAACCAGGTGTAACCAGACATGTCAAACACGTGAAACTGCTTCAAGCTGTATTACCCAAGTTAGGCTTTTGCTGGAGAATGAAAATCTTTGTAATGTTATTGTATACGGTACAGTTTATTAGGTGTTAGATTTGTTATACCCCATCCAATATGTCATGTCACTCATTGTTACCATCTAGTGCATAACAGTCCTACAGTAATCATAATAACTATAATTTGTTGTGTGTAGGCTATCCGATAAAACAATATTGTGTTAGTTTATCAACCCACATCATAATATTTAATCCAGATTTGTTTGAAGGTTCCAAAGTATTATTGCACTCCCCTCTTCACGGACACAAAAATAACAATAATGTCACATGTTAATCACAATTAATAGGTCGGCCACAACAATTGTACTACAGTGTAGTAATTCTTACTTAGTGCCTCGCGGGGAATGACCCCCTGTAGCCTGTAGGTGTGAGGCTGGCCTATAATGGACCGTCTTATCAGTAGATCTCCCATCATAATTCTACACAGGTACGATCAGCTGTCCGTGCCGCCGTGCGTCGTCCGCTACCGCATTCACGTACAATCTGATTGTTGACGTGAATTGTAAATAGTCCCTGTCTGTCTGGTCACGCGAACAGCTGTGAATGAGCGTATATGGAACAGCTGATAAACCGAATAATTGTCTAAGCAGTAATTAACCGTCAGAATATAATTGATAACAGATTATAATGATACAGTAAATTATGTTATCTATATATTAATTTGAAACGGTTTTTCTTTGTGACAGCTATTTTGAGAGAACGGCTGGGCGTAGAAACTCGGTAGAGGTGTCTAAAGAAAGGTCCAAGTCTGTAGATGAGCCATCAAAAGAGAAACATGGAGAATTCCCTCGGGGCTCTGCCCCAATGGCCTTTAAATTCCCATCCCATATTATTCTTATGGAGGAAAACGAGGTTTTTGTCACAGCTAATTTGAGAGAACGGCTGGGCGTAGAAACTTGGTAGGGGTGTCTAAAGAAAGGTATTGGTCTGTAGGTGAGCCCTCAAAAGAGAAACGATGTAAATTTCCTTGGGGCTCTGCCCCAGAGGCCTTTAAAGTTCACTCTGCAATTTCGTTTACATTTCGACCATATGGATAATTTTACACTACTTTTAATGAACCAGCTGTTAATATTAAAATTGTATTCAAAGGTCTACCGAAACTGTCAAAATTAAATGTTTACATTATTATTTATTATTTTAAATGGATTCTCCACTGCATGGCAAGTTTTTTATAGTTTCAACAAAATGATGAATATATGATACATTTGAAATGTTTTGTTCAAAAATCTATGCTTTATTGCTCTTAGAAAATTTTAAATTATGAAATAAGTGTGACTTATCAATTTCAAAGGAACATATAACTATTCCTTATCGGGTTAGCTTATACATATTGTAAGGTTGGCACTTGCCTTTTTTTCCTACTTTCAATCACCATTTATTTTTAAATTCAAGAAAGAACACCTGAGATTCATTTATTGGTATAACAGTTTTTGATAATCGGGTTGAAAATTGTGTCATAGATGAGTACGTTAAAGGATGAGAGCTGTGTTCAAGTTTTGGAATAGACTAACTACGGAGTCTATGGTTTTGGTAAAGTACGTGAACTAATGTCAATTCAGGTATTTAAAAAAAATGTGTACACAGTTTTTACTTTGATGTACACATGCAGCTAGGTTGAACAACGCATCTAAACCTCACTACATACAAAACATTCGGAAACAACAGTGTCATCACATCTCATCGCATTTGCATAATTTGTTACCAATGCTGGACTAGGTTATGGATTTGGTTCCGCAAATGTTCAAGATTTGTGATAAAATTTCCGACAATTATGGTTCATTCCAATCCACGAAATACATGCACAGCTTTATGTGATCTATATGGCCAAGGCAAAACTACCCCATAAGTTAATGAATTATCAAGTAAGAACAGGATGATTAAATACATGGGTCGATGTGGCAAGAGAAGGATTTAAAATTGCTGAAATCGAAGTAAGAATGTTACTGTTTTCTGGAGAATCACATATTTTTATCAAAAAAAGATGAAGATTTATTTATAAATCCGGATACAATCTGAATGATTTTCCTAAAGCAGATGGAATTAGTGGTTAGTAATAAATATTGACTCTTTCCGTAACATGAGAGACTAATTATATGAACTCATTCTCCCATATAGTGAAAGTGGCTTTGGTATGAAACAAACTCATGAACAAACAATTATAAGACTCCTAAAAAATCTTTTGGGCAACCTAAAGCCGATAAAAAGAAATGTAGGAAATATTGTGTTAAACGAATTCATCAATCACGTTTTTTAGGGAACACAATCGTCATACTTATTATTGCTTATCCTCCCTTCATATAACTAAGATTTTAATGACTTCACTCTATCCAACGCAGTTAGCTGAATTTACATAAAACCTCAAGATTAACCGTCGATTTCGACGGGGTTCCACTAGTATACCTTAAATTGTAAAAAAAATTTAAACAATATTGCTTGCTACAGTCAAAATATATTGCAATACACTGAAATTCGAGCATTAAAGATTTAACTATCAACACATTTCATTCTGAACACCCCAATGATTTATGTAATGTGAAGTCATGTTTATAATTTATTTGTTTATTCAAACACGGACCTTATGAAGTACCGTACTTAAATACCTTAAAAACGTATGACTATATCTATGGGAATTTAAACGTTGGATTATACTGATTCCATGAAATTATTGTTACCGTACTATTAGATACCGTTCAACCACTAATTGAATTTAAAAAAATCTAGGCAGTGCATGAATATTATGAAATTTATTACTCCTAGTAAATATTTTGCGAAGAACACATACCAGTCATACTTTTTATCTGAACTCGTTTATTGAGATTTCTGTAAAGCAGTTTAGGCAAATTGAAAATTGTTTTTCAAGTCGTGATAATTAACCAGCAGCCTTGTATAGTTTCATTGTTTAAATTTATAGAGGATTTTATTATATATTGAATGGTGTTAGCCCAATAGTCGCAAACGCAGGGCATTGCCATCTCAGATGCACCTGTACTCTGTTCTCAGCGCTGCCTTCTGCTTCCCGCTCCAGTGGCTGCATAGAACGCGCCATATCACTCTGCTTCCAGCCTTTGTCGGCGCGACACCGACGGAGCGCAACAAAATAAATAAACTACAAAAAATAATCCGTTTGACAAGAATGTGTGTTTTTTGAAACGGAGAAGTTAAAAGGAGAACATCTGTGACAATAAATTCTGCTTTAGCTGTGTAGGGTTGTGTATGGAATTCAGTATTGGGTTTGACGAAAGGAAAGACGGAGTACATCCATTTGTGTGACCCAATTTTTCTATCCGATGATTTAATAAATCTTAGAAGGAAATAGGGCCTAGGTATTCGCTTAACAGTAATATAATTCGAGCTACGCTAATTGGAGAAATTCGTTGGCTGGTCTTAAATTTTAGCAGTAACAACGACATTGGTGGTGCAAAACATTTTCCGGTATTTTACTTGCTTTGTGACACCTCATGAAACCGTTCATTTCAAACACACTTCTTTCCAGACTCTACTCTTTTATGTAAATGCTTAAAGGAACCTTCGGGGGGAATTGAAACACGTAACTTGCGTTCATGGACTAGCGTTACTACTGCATACTTGCAGTAGGCCTAATATATAATGGGGTTGTTGTGCTTAAGATCAATGCATGTAGCGTCTAAATGACTCTTGTCTGTGGTTGCAGGGTGGACGGATGCAGCAGCACTAGCAGTGCGAGGATGTGGCCCTTGTTGTGGCTGTGTGCGGGGCTGTGCGCCTCCGCCGCCGCCGCCACAGCACGTCGCTCTGTGGACGTCATACCTCACGACATCCATCCAGGATACAGCATCAAGAAGTTCTGCAGCGACCAGTCGCTCAACTATAGACTGCTGGAGACCGGCTTCTCCCAGTTCTTCACCGTGTTAGAAGACGGTTTAGTGATGACCACAGCGGACTTGAGTCCTCTAGTGAACAGACCTGTGAACCTAGTGGTCCTGGAAGAGACGCCCAACGCGACGGCGACGCACACGTTGCAGCTGTACGTGCTGGACAGACGGGACATGCTGAGGTTCCCTCAGGACGTGTACGAGGGCGTGACGGTGCGGGAGAACGCGCCGGCGGGCACCGCGGTGACGGGCCTACCTGTGCTGACGGTGAAGGGCGGCGGCGCGGGCGGTCTGCCTATCAAGTATACGATCGTCGCGGGAAATACCGACAACGCGTTCGCAATGAAAAACGTAGAGTATACGAACAGTTCTGTCGGTGGAGTGACGTTGGTGACGAAGAAACCTCTCGACCGTGAGAGCATCGCCGCGTACACGCTCACTATCCAGGCGAGTGACGGGAAAGATATCGACAAAGCTGTGACCAAAGTGCAAGTGAACGTGGAGGACGAGAACGACAACAGTCCGGTGTTCAGTCAGAGGGTCTACAGGTTCAGTGTGAGCGGACTGAGGAACCTGGCTGCCAACGGAACGGAGTGGAAGAGGTTCGCCGCTGTAGGGAGAGTGTCGGCGACGGACGCGGACGGTGACAGAGTGGCGTATCGTCTGGCGGTGCCCAGCGACCTGGTGGTGATAGTTCCGCAGACAGGAGACCTGCTGCTGGCCGGGGAGCCTCCAGAGTCCGCAGCCCAGGAGGGGTTCGAGTGTGAGCTGACAGTGGAGGCCCACGACCTGAGAACGCCCAACAGAGTGTCCCAAGCACCCGCGCAGGTCTGGCTGGAACTGAACCCCTACGACGAGGACCTGCAGAGCCTAGACTCTCCCCACAGGATATCCAAGAGACGAGTGACCCGCGCAGTCAGACCCACTAAGAGGATCGAGTTCACGGAGGCCGACGGTGAACAGGAAGGCAGAATAGTGTTTCAACTGGAGAAAGAAACCGAGAGAGAAACGTTCAAGATTCGAGATGAAAACCCGTGGGTGACCGTAGAACCGAACGGTGCTGTTAGGGTGAAGAAGAAGTGGGACTACGAGGAGCTGGGACCTGAGAAAACCATCGACTTCTGGGTGACGATCACCAATGCTGCGTCAGGAGGTGAGTCGTGTTGCTATCTTGCATGTCAGTCATAAACACTAACAAAAACACTACACATCATTTTCATTTCATTACCTGTACGGTAATGACATTAAAAAAAATGGTTTAGTACGATGGCATTTTTGCCAATCTTCAGATGAACCGTGAACGATATTCTTGAAACTACACAAGATGCAAGTAATCTAGATAATTCCTGTACTTATCGAGATTCTCAATGAGTTGACAATTTAACTCTTTTATTAACACATTAGTTTCACTCAGTGCTGCTATCATACCCCACTTAACATTTATTTACGATTCGATGTTTTTCGCCATGTGTTTGTGTCGAGAAATTGCTGTTTACATGGCTTTACACCAATTTACCGGTCATAAACCCGGCCTGTATAGCCTACCATAATAATAGCCTCGCGCGGGTCGGCGCGCCTCTAGCCTCTCAGCAGGCCCCTGGTGGGAACAACGTTTCCGGGTGTTTCGACATCTGGCTCATATCCATCACGTTTTCGTGCCTAGAGATCAGCCTGAGACATTGCTGGGGCAGAACCAAGTTTCTTTTGCACTAGATTGTTCCTGGGTTTGTTGGATTGCCTTCTCTATACTTGAGAAGGGAATGCGTATGATTGAGCCCTCCTCAAGGATTTGCTGATTGTGTTCTGTAGGCTAGTTAAATTTAAAATTCATCTGAGAAGGGTGAATTATACTTGTTAACTTAATAGTTTCAAGGTTTTATAAATCATACTTTGTTAAAGAAATGCAGTCCCGGTACACAAAAATGGGATTTTATATCAAATAAACTAATAATATATCCCTCAAATAAAACTGTGCTCAGACATGCCGAGGAAAATAATTTGACAAAATATCAATGCACATAAATTGGATGATTTCCATGTTTGGTATTAGCCAAAGGCTCAATTTGGAAAATAGATAAATCCCAATGCAATCCTTGTACGTAAACAAGAAATGCAGATTTCAAGTTGATGTAACGAAGAATCTCCCAGTTTGGAGAAAGTTACTCTTTTGATAATACGAAATTTAAATATTAAACAAGCCAAGGTAAAGCAAGACTCGACAAGATCGTATCGTCAAAGATTGAGTTGCTCCCGTGTTTCATATTCGTGTAAGGTAAATGACTTGAAGGAGCGGCAACTCTCAGGTGAGGGGGAGGGGGGTTAGAAAGGTTAAAAATGTTGATTGATGTCTGGGTGGGCCACAGCGCCTTGTCATAGTGGTGGTGGTTTAGGTTTGTGTCAGCAATCGGTAGTACTGGAACAGACAATCTGCAAAGGTGTAAATAATGTTACCTAGAAATATCCCTTGTCTGTGTGTACAATATTCCTTGTCTGCATGTTGTAAGCTCGTCTTGGATTTTCAATCGTAAATATTAATCAGAGACTTGACCTACTACTGGTATATAGGCGCCCTATTTAAAAGAAAAAAAAAACACGGTAATGAAATGGACAATTTTTGAATTTCTTAATGTTTATTTTCAAGAACCAAAAGGTGAGCCCTATAAAATTGTTCATTACGCTGTAACCGGTCAAGTTTAAAAAATGTATCCTTCCAATTTTCCTTATGCTATAGAGGTTGGCGTACTCGACAACGTAAATTTTTGTCTTAAAACTATTTTAAACTTTAACATGGAGAAAGGGGTGTCAACTTCAATAGTCAAGTACAACCATGTTAAAGCATTTTTTAACCACAATGTACAACATGGTTTTCTAAACAATAAAATATTGAAATATTTAATCCGTCGTGCTTTAGAAACTGTATTTGTCTTTCCAAACCGTGTAATATTGTACATTTTGCCAAGAATCACAGGTGTAATCTAACAAAACTCGCACAGCTGCAAGCCAATCCATCACGGGACTCACTTTTAATTGAAACATTCCAATTAAAACTTTGTGCTGTATGGTCTTGAAGTAGAAAATTGCTGAACATTTTCATCGAAAGAGTTTGCAGTTTTATCCAATTCCGCTACAGTTTGACCTTTAAGCACGAAAGGCCCGGATTAATGTCGCGTTTCGACCAAACAGCTGTCGTTGGTTCTGGCATCTCGTTCTTATCTGCCCTCGGCATCGGTCGATTCTTCATTCAGCTGTTCTTTCATTGAGGTAGATAGTAAAATATATGTAATGCTTTATGTTACTTCATGTTGTAAGCCAGTGTTATTGATTGTACACATAGTATCACCTCTAAAATGTACAACCCCCTCTTCCCTTGGTACATCTCATAAATAGGGATGGAAATATGCTGTACATTAATCAGGCAGGGTGGTCCAAAGCTTATCTTGAGCAGAATTCACCCCCACCAATGGAGAAAATAGGGCAGATCTTTCTCTAGAGAACAACTTTCTGTATCGCAGAACGTGCTCCACTAAAGCTATAAGATAATTGTTGGAATTAAAAGTAAATAACGGAGTGATACATTTATCTACGGTGGTTATTATTTATGAAAAAATCGGTGCAAGCAGTAAAATTAATGGTTTTTATCATTGTGTTTTCTAAAAATCTTCAGAGGATTATTTAAAACCAAAAGACCTTTTTCTTCTCTTTACTCTATAAACCTTACGTAAGCCTGTCTTGGATTGGAACATTCTTTATGAAATTACCTCGTTGCCACATACCCTTAAATCGTATAAAGTTGATTTATAAAATCTTTGAATGATGATAAAATATTTAAGAAAACGTTGAATTGAGATTCCGCTTCTATCTCACCATCACATAGCATTATGAAAAATACCTCTAAAAGTGAATTGAAGGAAAACAATTCAAATTACAAACACACCCTGCATAGTGTCGACATTTGACGTTGTAGTAGTATTGTAGTATTGTAGTATTGTCGTATCATTGTATTGTAGTAAGTGCTAGGGCGACGACGTCGTATTGAGTAAGACAATGCGACAATAGGCTCAAGAGTCTCATCATGCATGATAGATGCGTAATCACACTCACACTCACACAGACACATACACCACTACACACACACACATACATCGGGCCTAATTAAAACAGCCCCTGTAGATATAATGACTGAGTCAGGTGCTCGGCTCATCTCGACCCTCCCAACCCTTCCATTTGCGAATTGCGAAACACATTACATGATACTTTGCACCAAATTGAGGATAGTTTTGAATATACCACGTACAGAACAATTTGTTTGTCAATATATGCCTTACCATTGAATATTACTTGCCAAGAATTACTAATACTATCAAGTAATTAAGTAATGCCTGGATATTGTTTACAGTAACAAATGTGTTTGCCAGTGTACACATACGAAAATTTCACCCAGACATTCAAATTTAATCTATATATGAATGAGATTTATGCCAAACCCGATTAACCTTATCCCGGAAATCCAGGTGAAGTAGAATACATTTCGGAAGTATCATTTTATATCCGTGGATACAGTTTCATCTAATGCCTGCCGTCCTGCCACTTGATAGCGTAGTGTATCTAATGGCAGGGCTGTAAACGGATTGACCATACCTGGCCGTGTTAATGGTATTAATGGCTCCGACACGTCCACAGGGCATCTCTACTAATGGAGCACCCTGTGCGTATACAGCTTTTATTTAGATTTTTAATACCAATTAAAATTGTTAACATCTACGTATAGTGCTCATCATCTAACTGCGCTTAAATGGTAAAAGTGTTAACCGAGTCCTATGCTCTGTGACCGAGTCTCATGGTTATGGAAGCCGATAATTTTTTGTCAATATAGTTTTAGACGTGAAAGGTTTATTATTTGACAATATATTTCTGCTGTAGTTTTGCACAGATAGTACAGCCTCCTTCATTGCAATATGTGTTTTAAAATTCAATGTAATTACAATATAACAAGTAAAAAACAATGACTTACTTTTTCCATTGAATTTGAATACTAGGGTAGACACCCCAACTATGCGGACTAGCTGTATCCAATTGACCATAGTTGAATAAGGCGCTCACGGAGTTTGATTTTGTACAAATTATATTTGATCCCTTTTTGTTTTATGTATTTATAACTTATGTGACGTTAAATCCACTATGGTTTGCAGTAAGTTGCTGTTTTAGTGTAATAGGGTTTGGTTTGGTATCAGTACTGTATATATGACAAAATGAGTGCTGTAATTAGAACTTGGGAATGCTAGCTACCGTACTGTCTTACAAACTCCCGTACTTTAATTCGTTTTGCTTCATAATAGAGCGTGCGTATTTGAAACAAAAAGCGCAAAAAAATGTGCACAATTAATGTGCAAAAGTTGTAATTGTGATTTAATTTGCTACGGCAACAACGTACAGTTGCGTAAAGCTAAAATGTTAACGTTAGTCTAATAACCTTTTAATTTAACGAAGATGCCATTGATTACGGATAACGTAATGACGTAATGTTTATATTCAGTGAAAACAGTTATAAAGTATTTAAAGAGATTTGTTTATCTCCGGGTTCATACCACGTTGCAACCCATGGATAAGACCAGCCTTAAACAAATAGCAATCTCTTGCACATGTCTATACCCACGTCACTACACACCACAAAGGTCACACAAAGGTCATAGTTACATCTGCATATGTTGAACACGACGTGCGATTATCGATAACTAAACATCGATTGTTCAATGTATGCAAATCGAGTACTGTATGTACACGATGAAAGTATTAGATATGTTAGATTGCAGAATTATACAGAGGCAAATCATTGGTATACTGTATCAAATAAGACACGACGTTTCTTAGGCTTTCTGCTTATCGTCATCTCATCAGCAGAAGCCAATTCCCAACTGCAAGTAGGATTGCTTTGATGAAGAGATTTCTAATATATTCAATCATTTGGTTCAATCGCTGGGTTTCTCGGAGTCGAATTGCGTTGCACCCCGTAGTACAGTATCGCTATTTGGTTCACCACTCAGTACATTGCTCAGCCCTCTACAAATGAAATGTATAAGGGAGCAGTTTTATTATTTTAATTTCGCAATTGGTGTGCTTATGGTTTAGTTTGTAAATTTTCTTTGTTTAGGAGTC